AAATTTTAATTTGTAAGCCTTTTTATTTTTAGTGCGTTTCATGCAGTCAAAACAGAAACAATTTCTCAACTATATAGACAATTTTAAAATCCATTCTTAGTTTAGTGCATATCAAATATAAAGAAATCTCCTAGTCTTTTAGATAAATTTGATTTTGTTTGTTTTCATATAAAGAAAAACTCAACTTACACATCACAAACGCTAACGAATACCCAAAATGCATCTTCGGCCGGCAGGTGCATAAGCAGGAAAGCAGCTATCGGCGCTTGCGCCTGACAAAAGCCCACTTTCGGATTATAGATGGAATACGCTTTTAATACATTAAATAATTCGATTTGGCCCACTTTATCCTCGTCCAGAAACATTTCATGAAAAGGAAATTGACGATGTTTATCCTTTTTGATTTCTTCGATGACATGTGGATTACCGGGCTGTTCGAGTAATTCTTTATAGACAGTGGGATTTTTCTTTTTTAGCAAATAAGCGCCAGATAAATAAAACCAAGCACGTGGACGCACCGATTTTGGTATGCCTTTGCGACAGCGATCACGAATCTATAAAAATAATTCCACATTAAAAAAGATGTACGAACATGTGCATGTATGTATTAGTATGTAAATAGCTTTAAATACCTTTTTGTAGTTTTTGGACATATAAAGCGACCAATTATCAATCATATATAACCATTTCTTTTCTCGCGCAATAATTTGCGCCTTGGAGAGTGGTTCTTTAGGCTTTTCTGTGCGCTGAAAACCACCGTAAAAGCCATTGCGATCTGGGCAACTGGAAACGGTGGAACAAAGTGATATAGTGTCGACGGAGCGTGGTGATGTGGCCATTACAAGCTGAAAATAAAGTAACAATTTTAAATTAATATGTACATACATAGGTATAAAAGAATTTAAATTACAAAAATCCATTTACTGAATATGTTATGAAATGCATACAAAATTTAAAAAAAACATACAACCAAGGAATGCTTCCGAGTATTTCCATGTTTATATGTATGTACATGTGTATGTATGCACCATTGCAGAAGGCTCGGTTAATTAAAGCAGACGTGCAACAATGCACGCAAATAAGTTCAAGTATAGAAATAAATCAAAACAGCCATTCAAAATTTGATTCAATTATGTACACATATCAATATGTCTGTATGTTGATTTGCATAGATACATGAAAATTTAAATCTATGATTGTGGAGCCTATGTACCTCCCACGGCTGATGTTGCAGCAATACATCTATTTACTTGAGACGCAAAATAAGCGAACATAGAGGGAGAGAGAGAGAGTGCGGAACAGTTATTAAGGACGTGAGAATTATGTAAAATTTGTATATTCTTTTCAATTATTTTACCTCTAAATTTTTTAAATGCCGATGCCTTCCACTCAAAAAAAAAAAAAAAAAATGTTGTCCTTTTAATGCAAACTCGTAAGATAGTTATTTTTAATAAAATGCTGACGCTTGTCAAATTGGGCGGTAAAATTCCAATGCAAATACACACTGAGTATTCGAATTTGTAAATGTACATACATACATACATACATATTCATATGTCTGTATGTACATATGTATGTAGTAATTGCAAAGTGCATTAGTTCCGACAAGACAAGTGCCTCCTCCTTATTTGACTGCCATTTTAGAGACATAAAAGGAAACTTGTGGTTGCTTTAATTGTTTTTAAAGTATGGCCGCGTTGAATATTAATAAGTTTTTATTTTGGCATTGATGTAACGTCGAAGTTGGCGCAATATGTATTGCGAAAGTCGGAAGGCCAGAGAAATAAAAATACGTTAAAGAAATAATTTTAAATCATTTTTTAAATTTCAATTCTAAAAAAATTGTTTACATTTTTATCGAATGAATAGTATTTATTTACGGCCACAACGGATATATTAATCAAGCGAGTGGTGCTTAAGTATACTTTGAGTTATGAATGTTCATACATACAAACATAAATATATACATATGCATAACATAAATATGTATGCATATGTACATATGTATATGTATGTATATGTATACATCCATATAAGTATGAAAACAAGGTTACGATTCTCTTCTGCAATTCATCTGAATGGCAAGGCAGACAAAACTATTCCAACTAGGGACCATTTTGTTGTGACTGCAGGGGAATTTTAACTAGACTAGCTTAGAGCGAATAGTTTTATAGGCGATTATAGAGTCAGAGTTGGTACAAACCGCATGTACATACATACAAACATACATGCATACTTTGCTATAACAATAAAAATACGTAAAGTTCTTCGTTGGTTGGATGTTTGGGAGTTCTCAATCACGCCCCTATCGAAGGGAAAGCATCCGCAAAATAAACCAATTTCTGTGGTGGTATTGCTTCCGCCCTACTACTACCTGGTAGTAGCATTAATGTAACTATTAATCCTTCAGAGTACTACCTCTAGCTATGAAGGATGACTTTCTGTTTAAAAAAATAATAGAATTATCTTAAAAATTTTTCAAATAAATTTTTGACCCATGAAAAAAGAACAAACTCACTTAAAATACCAGACGTTGCATACTTTATGGATAAATATTTGCTAATGTAGCAATCAAGCGAAAGCAACACACAGGATATGCAAATGCGATGAGCCTTCTTATTGGCGTGGGAGTAGGGCCGTAAAACAATGTTATTCTTTAACCGTGCGCTAAAAATACAAAAAAAAAAGACCGCAATGGAATTCTGACAATCGATACGCCTAATTTTCGATGCCAAAAATCTCTAAATGAAGAGCAGAGGGGCCTAAAACTATACAACACGGAAAAGTAACAGGTACAAAGTGTAATCAGCCGAATCTAACAGAATGAGGGGTATGTATGTATGTAACTAGATGTTTATTTATTTATCTAGAAAATAAATGTTTCATACAGACTATTTGGCAAAAAATAAAATATAAATTAATAGCAGACGATTTTAAGAGCGAGTCAAACTCGTTTAGAGCTCTGGGAATAGGATCGTTATTTGCATAGTTGGTGGAATCCAGCTGCCGATATCATTTAAATCTTACAATTTTAGTTTTTTATTTATGTATTTATTTCATAGGCGTCCCCCCATCCTCGACTTTATAAAGAATCGTCCCATAATCTTATCAAGCCATCGAGGTAATATTAGGCATTCGCACTCTGAGATTATGTGTGATTTGTGGGTTGTAAAATCGCCTTTTCGGATTACTGTAGGAAAAATTACCATAAATGTTTATAAATATAAGCAACCAATTTTACTAAGGTTCACCAAAAACGTAAATATTCAGCGAATCAAGGCGGAAGTGTAATGAAAAACAAAATATATTGTTCAACAAAAGGATTAAACTTTAATCCTGTATAAAAAAAATTATATGAGATGGAATAAAATCTACACAGGATTCGACTACCGCGAATGAATACTAACGTCGGAGCATAGTCTTGAGATCCTAGAATTACTGTTCCCGTGAGTGAGAAAAAAATCGTAACCTTCCTTGCTCTCGAAATGGCGGCGAGTCCATAATCCCTGAGCCGGCAAATCTTGCTTAACGACTAGCCTTATTAGGTACCAGTGGCTTCAATTTTTATACAATATAACCCTTTCAAAAATACAATTTTATTTTGTAAACTAGCTATATACTTATTTCAAAGTATATTGCCGTTGGCAATGACAAAAAACGGCAGTGGCAACAGCGTGGCTGGGCCAGTGTAAACGTCTACTAGTCTACTACTCAGAAGATATTTTAGGTAGGCCTCCTTAAGTGAAGCCATTCGAAGAGGCCTACCCAAGAAGCGCTGAAAAAAAGTGCTTCCTTGCTTGCCTTCTAAAAGGGGTGTAAACCCCTATTGCGAGTGCCGACTTATAGTAGATAAACGCCTGTTAGTCGATTATCGATTTTGAAAGAAATTGAAAGAAGCAACTTTAAAAGAACTCCCCCAAAAGGCCTTCTGAAGTACGCTCGGTACGTCCAATGAAAGTCCTTCTACGGGTAGCGAAAGAAGAAGTCTTTCAATTTGTACATACAAAAAAGAAAGGAATGTAGAGTGGAAGGCCTTTCGGAAGGGCTTTTAACTCCTGAGATTAGCTACTTGGTAGTGATCATTAACCAATTTAAATTTTTTAAGTAAAGCTTATTCGAAGAAATATGTACATAGGTACATACATTTAAGAATGTATGTATGCATTTGTCCACATTTACACGAGTTAGCAGAGAATTCGAATTGCTCCAATGATCGAGTGCAGTTAATTTTATTTATTTACATTTTCTGTTGGCTAATGAAGCGCCATGGGCACCCCCACCAACATCATAGCAGTACCGCAGAACAATATGTGCACATATGTATACATATGTACATACATATGTATGAGCATAGAGCCACCCATGATAAAAACACCACCTACATACTTACCTACGCTNTTTAAATTTTTTAAATAAAGCTTATTCGAAGAAATATGTACATATGTACATACATTTAAGTATGTATGTATGCATTTGTCCACATTTACACCAGTTAGCAGAGAATTCGAATTGCTCCAATGATCGAGTGCAGCTAATTTTATTTATTTACATTTTCTGTTGGCTAATGAAGCGCCATGGGCACCCCCACCAACATCATAGCAGTCCCGCAGAACAATATGTGCACATATGTATACATATGTACATACATATGTATGAGCATAGAGCCACCCATTATAAAAACACCACCTACATACTTACCTACGCTAAGTCACTGCCGTCTGGAGGAGCACTCCTTACTTTATGGTACTTCCAAAAACGTTATTTTCTATTCGTTGCAATCAGATTTTATTGATTTTCTATAGGCGATACTTTTGCATAATTAATGCGAATCTATNGTAAAGCTTATTCGAAGAAATATGTACATAGGTACATACATTTAAGAATGTATGTATGCATTTGTCCACATTTACACGAGTTAGCAGAGAATTCGAATTGCTCCAATGATCGAGTGCAGTTAATTTTATTTATTTACATTTTCTGTTGGCTAATGAAGCGCCATGGGCACCCCCACCAACATCATAGCAGTACCGCAGAACAATATGTGCACATATGTATACATATGTACATACATATGTATGAGCATAGAGCCACCCATGATAAAAACACCACCTACATACTTACCTACGCTGTGTCACTGCCGTCTGGAGGAGCACTCCTTACTTTATGGTACTTCCAAAAA